TCATGTTTACTAGTCCTGGAAATGTGAAGACCAATCCCAGAAGACCCCTGGTTTCTCCCCCAAATCAAAATGACCCATGTGACTAATATGTCCTGCTGAAGGCAGGAATCGAGAGATTCTGGGGGCCTTGGGGACAAATAATATCTATTCCCAACCCACCAACCACATATTACCTTAGTTCCAAAATTCATATGAAAACCCTAAGAGGGGCTAAGTGCAGCAACTCTCACCTGTAACCCTAGCTAAGCGGGAGCCAAGGTCGGGAGGATCATGGAGGGAGAGTAGCAGGTGTACAAAGTTAGTTAACAAATAATGTGGATGCGATGTCACACTTCCACATTTGCAGCTATGCAGAATGCTTTACATAGGAGAATCCTGACCCAAGCTGTCCCTGATAAAAATGGAAGGATCTACTAAATATAACCAAAGCAAAAAATGTCTGTGGGCTTGCAAGAAAAGGCACTGTGATTAAATTGCAGTAGTTCCACAGAAAGAAAGAGAAAGACAGCAAGAGAGAAGGAGGGAAGAAAGGAAGGAAGGAAGGAAGGAAGGAAGGAAGGAAGGGAGGGAGGGAGGGAGGGAGGGAGGAAGGAAGAAAGGAAGGAAGGAAGGATGGAAGGAGGGAGGGAGGGAAAGAAGGAAGATAGTGGGCAGAAAGAAAGAAAGAAAAGGAATGAAGGAAAGAAAAGGTAAGAAAAGAAAAGCAGAATGAATGAATGAATGAATAAGGGAAAAGAAAACGTGTTAAACAATAACTAAGATACTCAAATTTTACTGAGCTTTGCACAGAACACCCACTGATAGCTGAGCCAAACTCTGAAGCTAACAGGATAAACACACACTTCCTTATTGACAGATGTGATCCAACCTGATCTTTTGTTTGAGAAAGAAGTGATTCCTTCTGCATGACTTTTTTCTATTGTATCTTTTCTTTCCATCATTGTAACTGCTGATATTTACTGTCAAGCATTGTACCCAGTGTTTTTCTTCTGCGAATTCTGTTATTTCTTTCACAAGTCAATAAAACAGGCAGCATTATGATCACAGAAGAGGAAACTGAGTCTGTGGCCGGGGGTTGAAATGCTTTCTGAGGATCCAGGTAGTAGAAAATGCTGTGGTTGAGCAGGAAGCCAGATAATCTGAGCCCCAAAGAGGGCAGCTCCCAGATAGTACACAAGAAATCTCAAAGAGTAGAAGGTCAGATTCAAAACAAAGCACACAACTAATCTATGGGAGCTCACAAAGGGCTGAAATCAGCGAACACTTTAAGGAAAGCTGGCCTTTACCATGTTCTAATGTTTTCACCAAGAATAAGGCATGAGATGTACAAGTCGTTATGTCGAAAACAAACTTTAAAACTTTGGTGGGGGGGGGGGGACGGGCGGAGGATGGGAAGGGATGGGAAGGGGAAACAAAGGAGGAGGCTACAATGCTTGATAAGAAATGTACTCATTATCTTGCCCATGTAATTGTAACCCCTCTGTACAGTATTTTCACAATAAAAAGAAAGGTTAAAAAAAAAAGAACAAGGCATTTGGCACATTAGGGCCCCTTGTCCAAGTTGAAAGAATCATATTATATAGCTTTCCTTATTTTCCCAGTGATAAACTTTGATATCTTTTTGACAGTGTTACTGTTACTGTTATAAAAGGTAATTTTTTTCCATTATTCTCTGTAAAGGTTCTTGTTGGTTTTAAGGACATTGGTACCAAGTACCGATGGCTCACGCCTATAATTCTAGCCACTCAGGAGGCTGAGATCTGAGGATCACAGTTCAAAGCCAGCCCTTGCAGGAAAGTCTTATCTCCAATAAACAACTCAGAAAAAGCCGAAAGTGGCACTGTGTCTCAAGTAGTATAACTAGCCTTGAGCAAAAGAGCTCAGGGATGGTGGGTGGGACGGTACCCAGGCCCAGAGATCAAGCCCCACAATCAATTAAAAAAAAATAGAAGTGGGAGGAGAACACTGGCTTTGTGAGGCTAATTTGCATTGGTAAAGTTGATATCTCTTCTTAGTCAATGTGCATGTTTGATCAATTCTTTTGACATGGTTTTGGGTATAAAATCTTTATTTTCTTTCATTTGGGTATGAAGTTCACTTGGAACAGAAACATTTTTAAAGACAACTTTCAGGCCTTTAAATGCACGTTTTAAACTGTGAGAACCTGGGGTGGGAGGGAATTCCCGCCCCATGCTGATTTCATCACCAAGAATGCCAGGCGGCTGGGAGGCTGGGCATCAAAGGGCAGCTTGGGGGGCAGGCCACTGGATATAGGGAGGGGCAGGTTCCGAGGAGGGGGAGAGAGGAAAAGGAAGCCACAAAAGACACTTCTCCCGGAGTGGAGCAGTGCCCGGGTCTCCTCAATCTTGAGGAGAGCCTGGAAGCCTGGGCCAGCAGAGCGGCCTGGGGATGGCCAGGGGGCTGGGAAGAACCATAGTGGGAGAGGGAGAGGACCCAGGCTGGCCTGAGGGGAGGTATGGGCCGGCCTAAGGGGAGACCCAGACCAGAAGAGAGGCCCATGCAGGCGGACAGGCCCCGGGACACACAAAGGCCTGTGCAGGGTGGAGAGGCCAGCAGAGAGGCCATCAGGGAGAGGTCTGCAGGGGTCAGAGAGGCCTGCAGAGAGGCCTGTGGAGATGGGGAGGTGGAGAGGGAGGTAGAGAAGCCTGCAGAGAGGCCTGTGGAGATGGGGAGGTGGAGAGGCCTGCAGAGAACCGAGAGGCCTGTGGAGATCGGAGATCTGGAAAGGCCTGCAGAGAGCTGAGAGGCCTATGGGAAGGAGGAAAAAGGAAAAAACAAAAAACTTGTCCCCTTAGAGGTTGCAGCTACTCCTAGTTCTGAGGTAACCCAGGACAGGGTTGCAGACTGACTAATAAAACTCCTTTGTCACCTCTAAAGTGCCTCCATGTAGATTTTTCCACTTGGAGGCTATTACAAGATGGCCAGCCAAGTTGAACAGGAAATACAGAGATTTCCCATCTGTCTCAGCCCTGTTCATGAGAACCTTTTACACAGTGAACTCTGTAACCCACGGTCATTTTGTACAAGCAATGCATATGCAGTGCTATGTCCATACAGAAACGGTCCATAGTGTTCACTTGATCTTGTAATATTTGTGAGTTCAGATAAGGGTGTAAAAAAGTGAATTCTCCCTTCTCTCATGTCTCACACAGAATCTCAGCACCACCCTCACATCTTCTGTGCCGGGATCCATCCATCCACCACCATCTCTTCCCTGCCTCCATTGTTTCCCATTGTGTCCTTCGAATGACACAGTTAGATTGTAACAGCCTTTTTATCATTCTTCTTTAACTTCATACTATAACTTTCAGGTGGTTCTGGGTACTTGTTAGGTATGCTTTTCAATAAAAGTAAAATTCCATTGTCTGAGTGAACAATAGTTTGCCAACTAACCTACTGAACATTTTGATAGTTTACATGTTTTGGCAACTAGGAGAATATAGGCTTTTACAGAGCACATATATTGGATCTTTAAAATGCACTCAGCTATGATATGACTGGACTAGATAATACACATAATTCATTTTTACAGAATCCAGGCTTTGCCTGGCACTGGTGGCTCATGGCCTGTAACACTAGCTACTCAGGAAGCTGATATTTGAGAATTGTGATTCAAAGCCAGCTGGGGCAAGAAAATCCACGAGACACTTATCTCCAATGAAGTACCAAAAGTACCAGAAGTGGGGCTGTGGCTCATGCAGTAAGGGGCAAGTAAAACCACAGAGACAGCCTCTGAACTGGCCCCCAACAAAAGAGTCATGGCATTGATTAGGTAACTGGCTTTTATTTTCCTCAGGGAGTATGAAAGCTTGACTTCCTTCCTGCGCTAGGACACTCTATCAATTCGAATCTCTAGCACAAAAGTGCACTGAACTTTTCTCTTTGCCTCATGAATCTGATTTTACATCCTCTTGGAAGAGAAGTGTCTCCACATAGATTCTGCTTCCATACAAAGGGAATGTGTCTCGAGATCTTGCATCTCTGTGCTTATGGCGGTGGGAGGTGGAAGAGCATCCTGCTGTGCCTCCTGGTTCAGTTCGCCTCCTCACCATCACGCTGGAGGCACAGAGCTGTTTGGGGGTTGAGGCCAACCAAATCAGGTGGAGTAGTTGCACCATCCAAAGCAAATTCTTAAGGTTTTCTTCTTAAACAAAAATTTAAGATAACCATAAGGTGACAGAATGGGAAACAAATGAAAGGAGGCGTTGCCAGGTGCCAGTGGCTCACGCCTGTCATCCTAGCTACTCAGGAGGCTGAGATCTGAGGATCGAAGTTCAAAACCAGCCCAGGCAAGAAAGTCTGTGAGAATCTTATCTCAAATAATCCACCAGAAGACCGGAAGTGACACTGTGGCTCAAAGTGGTAGAGTAGTAGCCTTGAGCTGAAGAGCTCAGGGACAGTTCTCAGGCCCAGAGTTCAAGCCCCATGATCAATGAAAGCAAGCAAGCAAGGAAGCAAGAAAGGAAGGAAGGAAGGAGAGAGGAAGGGAAGAAGGAAGGAAAGAAGATGCTGCTTTTCTTTACTGCATGTACCACACGAGAATGCCCCTGGCCTGCTGTTGCTCACCCCAGTGGGGGAGTACTAAGCAGGTGCTCTTAGGCACCTGTTCCCCCATAACCAAAGTGAGCAAGGTCTGTTCTCCTCCTGTCAGAGCCAACCTGCACTCAGGACCTGAGATGGAGAGCGCAGATAGTCATCAAGGCCTCAGAAGTAAACTGAAGTCTCTGGAATCCATGCATGGGAAACCTGGAGAGAAGGACAGAGTTCATCTAAGGCTGCTCTCCTGGATGCAAGCCCATTGGGATGGAGCAGGTGAGGACCCACACAGACAGAGGGAGGGAAAAGGCTGGCAGCCAGGCCTTGTGACCTGGCACATGCCTGTGTGGGCAGGACCAGTCGCCATAGCTAGGTACATATAGCCCTGGGCCCCATCGCCGTTCCAAGCTAGTGAGATCTCCTCCAAATTGCTCACTATTTGCTGAAGGTAGACACTCACAGCGAATCATGAAAGGGCTCGTACCTCTTGTGCTGGTCCTTCTTGGCCTCTGCTTCTACGAAGGTGAGTATTATTTGTGAGCGCTCTAGCAAAGCACCTTGGTAAGTTCTCTTCTTAGAACACTCGATAAAACTGTTTCCCCATGGGGCTGGGCTAAGCAAGCAACCCGAATTGTAAATCACTAAAAGACTGCAGCTCATTTCGTTAAAACCCTTACATTTCAGATGTTGAGGAGTCTGTCACAGCTGGCCGATTTTAGAAATGGTTTTTCCTTGCAGCTTCTTCTCTGACTCTGATTGTTGGAACTTGGATACTTCCCATCAATTATCTCTGGAGCCAAATGGGCAAATGTGCTGAGATTTCTTTTTTTAATTAGAATTTTTGTAGCACTGACGCTTGTAGCTTGGACCAGGTGTAAATAGAGATGTGTTGTTAACAGTCTCAAAAAGCTCACTGGAGTCGAGTGTTGGTAGCTCTCGCCTATAATCCTAGCTACTCAGGAGTCTGAGATCTGAGGATTAAAGCTTAAAGCCAGCCCCAGCAGGAAAGTCTGTGAGATTCTTATGTCCAATTAGCCATCAGAAAACTGAAGTGGCGCTGTGGCTCAAGTGTTAGAGTGAGTGCCTTGAATTGAAGAGCTGAGGGACAGCGCCCACGCCCCAAATTCAAGACCCCTGATAAAAATTAAAAAAAAAAAAAAAGCTCACTGGAGCTGTGTGGCCTATGGGATGACTAGAGAAGTCAGTATCCCAGAGCTAAGATGCTGAGCAAGAAATCTTTGGAATCAAAACCAAGCAGTCTCTGAGACTGAGCAAACCCCCCTTGGTGAGTAGGGTCAGCTTTCAGGACGTCCTGCCCGTCATGCTAACAGAATGAATGAATCACCAACATGATGATTTCTACTTTTCTAGAACTCATTCCTGCTGTCATTTAAACCATGCGTGTGTGTATTCCATTCCCTATCAACACACTTGTGGCATTGATTTTTTCTAATGTTTCTATCAGAACGGAGACTTCATTTGGGACATTCACTCTTGCTTACCGCTTTTCTGTTCAAGGCTGGCACTCTACCACATGAGCCACACCTCCAGGCCTAACTTTCTGGTAGATAACTTTCCGGTCGTTTCACAGATTTTCTTGCCTGGGTTGGCTTTGAACCATGATCCTCAAATCTGAGTGTGGAATTAACAGGCTTGAGCTACCAACACCAGTATCTTTGGACACACTTCGCTTTCTGAATCTTACATTATTTCTCCACATTGTCCCTTTACAACCTCTCAAATACTTCTGTGAGTGTTGCTATTTAACAAGATATTCCAACAGAGACTAATAGGTTACTATTTGGGTACAAGGTTGCCTAACCCTGAGAGTAGCAAGGTATCTCTGCATGGTTCTGCAAATCTATCATACCAGCCACTTAGATAGCCAAAGCGGAAGTGAGTTCAAGGCCATCCTAGATAACAATATAACAAATATAAATTTAAAAAAAACCTTGTTTGTGGAAATTTCCTCTATGAGCTAACAATATTGATTCATACTGTTCAGAATTCCAGGGTAGATAAGTAGGGAGTCCTGCTTTTCACCCTCTCTACATGTCTAGGCAGCATTGTGAATGAATAACACCTACTACAAATTTCTTTATAAACTATATAAGAAGTAGGAAATCTGCCAGATGGTAGCCCATGCCAGGAATCCTAACTACTCAAGAGGCTGAGATCTGAGATCACAGTTCAAAGCCACCCCAAGCAGGAAAGTCTGTGGGACTCTTGTCTCCAACTAACAAAAAAGCCAGAAGTGGAGCTGAGGCTCAAGTGGTAGAGCACTCAGATGGTACAGCCTTGAGAAGAAAAAGCAAACAAACAAACTCAGGGATAGCATCCAGGTTCTGAGTTCAAGCAACAAGCTTACTCATGTAACTGTAACCCCTCTATATGGTACTTTTACAATAAAAAAAAGTCCTAGCTCTACCTTCTGGCTGTTTAAGCTTCATGATGCCACCAAAGTCTTAGAATATCAGGGGAAGAAGAACAAAAACACTGAAGAACCCATCTAGTCAATAGTCCCAAGGCTTGGTAAAGGGAGAAATGAAACAGTTCCCAAAACTAAATTTCTTTTTACTCTCATTCCACAGCAAATGCCCTGGTCTGCCCAAGTCTTGTTATTGAAAGTTACACCTTTATATCAGGCTCCAGTCTTGCATTAAGGCTTCAGCTTGAGTCATACAATGCACCTCAAGAAGCTGTGGAAGCAAAAATGGAAGTGAAGAAATGCATAGATGATATAAGCTTTGTGAATAGAAAATTTATTGAAGAAGTAATGGTAATTTCTTTTTCATTGCTATTAATATTATTTTTGGGGGGGTCCGGTCGTGGGACTTGAACTCTGGGCCTGGGCGCTGTCCCTCAGCTCTTCAGCTCAAGGCTAGCGCTCTACCACTTGAGTCACAGTGCCACTCCCAGCTTTTTTCTTTTTGCTTATGTGGTGCTGAGGAATCGAACTCAGGGCCTCAGGCATGCAAGGCAAACGCTCTACCACTCAGCCACCTTCCCAGCCCCGTGCTATTAATATTATTGTTCTTGCTGTTGTGTTATTAGGGGCTGAACTCGGGTCCTGGACACGGTCTCTGAGCTTCTTTGCTCAAGCCTAGCTCTCTACCACTTGAGCCACAGCGCCACTTCTGGCTTTTTCTGTGTATGTGCTACTGAGGAACCGAACCCAGGGCTTCATGCATGCTAGCACTCTACCACTAAGCCACATTCCCAGCCTTTTATTGCTATTATTAAGGAGTTTGTACAAAGGGGTTACACTCCCATCAGTCAGGTGATGAGTACAATGCTTCTTGGATATTGGCACCTCTTCATCAGCCCCTCTCCACATTTTCTCCCTCCCATCCCTACCCAGAAGTTAAATACTTCATTTTTTATATAATGTATATTGAATACAATGTCTGCACGACCTCACCCTTCCTCCCTCCATTCCTGTACCAGTGCTGATCATTTCTTTCTCCTTTTTGCGTAAAGGTGTCTGCTCAGTCAGATGGTCAAGAATGAGGTTGGTCTGCCAACTACAGGAAACATAGATGGGAAGGTTTCCAAATACCTGGTTTTTCTTGGGAAGTTCATCTATAGCTACTCATGTGTCCATCACCTCTTTTTTTTTTTTTTTTTTTTTTGTCGATCGTGGGCCTGAACTCTGGGCCTGAGCACTGCCCCTCAGCTCTTCAGCTCAAGGCTAGCACTCTATCACTTGAGCTACAAAGCCACTTCTGGTTTTCTAGTGGTTTATTGGAGATAAGAGTTTCATGGACTTTCCTGCCCAGGCTGGCTTTGAACCGTGATCCTCAGATCTCAGCCTCCTGAGTAGCTAGGATTACAGGAGTGAGCCACCGGAGCTCAGCCCTGTGGTTTTGAACTTGGGAGTTTTGCTGAGGTTGAGTTCTGTCAGACTAGGGGATCACAGCCGTTGTAGTGTTTGCCAGAGTTGAAAAGATGTGCATGGGTGGGGACAGATGGGAAAGAGAGAGCTAGACTAGGGCTCTGTCCCAGTAGTGCTGGGATTGGATCTTTCTGCCCACCTCATGGGCTGAGATAAACTCCTCAAAACAAGGCTTTTCAAAAGCTCCTCTCATTCCTGTCCAATTCTCAGACCTGAGTCCTGCCATAGAGAAGAAGGGAAATTCTACTTTTATGACTTAGCAGAGAGAATCGAGACTGAACTGCTTTATCCTGATGAGGCCTCTCACCGTTACATGAGCCTGAGTCATCTCAGAGTGTATTTACCTGATGCTAACAGAGATATTGACTTATGTACATAAACAATAACTTTTTGTAATTGCATCCAATTTAATGGTTTAGTTGGGGGTGGGGGGCAGAGTTTTGGGGGGTTTTGTGTTGTTTCTTTTTTCTTTTTTTTTTAATTGATCATGGGGCTTAAACTCAGGGCTTGGGTACTGTGGCTAAGCTTCAAGGTTAGTTCTCTACCACTCTGAACCACAACTCTACTTCTGGGTGTTTGGTGGTTGATTGGATAGAATAAGCTCACTGGACTTTCCTGCCTTGGCTTGCTTTGAAATGCAAACCTCAGATCTCAGCCTGCTGAATAGCTATGATTACAGGCATGAGCTACCAACGCCTGGCTTGTCACTTGGTTTTAAAAACATATTTGTGTGAGTGTGCATGCACATGCGTGTGCGTGCGCATACATGCATACATGTGTTCTCTTTATAACTTGTAAACTATTCTCCTTGACAACACTCACAAATAATTAAGTCCTGTTAACATCTCATCTGCAGATAGTATGGCTTATTTTAACTTTGCTTTCTTTCAATTTCAGGCAAAAATTGTGATCAGCTGTAATGCTTTAGAGCCATAGGATTTCATACTGGTGTTTACTGTCTTTCATGGATCCACCAATCTTCACCCCACAAAATGTAGATGTTTCAATGTCTTGCTCCAATAAATCCCTTGCATTGCACATTTGTGTTGGTTTGTTATTATTCCACAGTATTGGGTGTTGGGTGGAGGAGATTTTGATCAAGGAATGACCCATTGTGTTGGTGAGAATCACCTGTGCAGACAAGTCCTATAACCAAGGCAAGCCTGGGCATTGGGAACTACAAGACAGGATACTGGCCTAAAATCATTCTGCATTACAATGCCAGTTTCACATTTCTATGTTCTTTCTTTCCTTTCCATACTTAACACTTTGACTATAATATGTTTTGGGGTTTTTGGTGGTGGTGGTGGTGGTGGTTGGTCATGGGTTTTGGACTCTGAGCCTGGGCACTGTCCCTCAGCTCTTCAGCTCAAGGCAAGCACTCTACCACTTGATCCACAGCACCACTTCCAGTTTCCTGCTGGTTAATTGGAAATAAGAGTCTCAAGGACTGTCCTGCCCTGGCTGGCTTTGAACCTTGATCCTCAGATCTCAGCCTCCTGAGTACCTAGGATTACAGGCATAAGCTACGGGCAACCAACAGACTATAATATGTTGTTTGGGGAAAGCTATTCTACTCCAAGCTTTCTGAGTAGCTAGGTTTATACCAGGAAACACCTGGCACAATGGGGAAATGAGCTCACCACTTTCCATTCCTTTAATGTTAAGCAAAATGTGTAAATGCTCTGAGCTTCTTGGTAACATTGGTGCTTGAAGCTTTCAGCAAGAGGAAGTAGAAGAAAGGAGCCAGGTTAAGACCATCAGCAGCTCACTAAATTCATGACCGTGGATTTGTGCACATCAGAGGCTGAAGAGATTTAACTCAGCCACAGCTTCCAAATCTTCCATTTAAATACATCAAGAGTTCCAGCTGGGGTGGTGACTGGAATCCAGTCCTGCAGAGCCAATATTCTGAATCACAAACCTTCAAACAGGCTCTGCGAATAAGTATAGCCTTGAGTGAGGGAGGTCAGCTTTCTGGGCATCCAGCCAGTAATGGTAATAGAACTAATATAATCATCAACACAAAGATTTCTGTGTGTGTGTGTGTGTGTGTGTGTCTGTCTGTCTGTCTGTCTGTGTCTGTGTCTGTGTATGTCTATGTGTGTCTGTGGTGTGTGTCTGTGTGTGTGTGTGTCTGTGGTGTGTGTGTGTGTGTAGGATTTATAGGCCTGAGCCATCAGTGCCCACTACTAGTTTTTGCAGAAGTAATCCTAACTATTCTTCTAACTTTACAAAACACTGTGTATAGTCCCTGCCCTGGAATGAAACGTGCCATGGCATTTTTCTTCCTTTACGTTCTGAATCTCCTCTTGTTTTTCCTTGTTGAATCTCCATAACTTCTTCAATATTCCCACAGTGTGATGCTGTTTGTCCCAGGCTCCCAAGATTGGTTGCTAGATAACATCTTGGGGGTAGCGAGTGCCAAAATCTTAAGGAAAAAAGGGAAGAGTCAGTGGCTCATGGCAGTTGAGACCTGTAATTCCATCTACTCGGAGTTACTGAGGCAAGAGGTATCTTAGTTCAAGGACAGCCTAAATAACATGGTAGGACAAGTATGGATTTAAAAAAAAAACAACAACAACAAAAACTGTGGAAGATTTGGCATATAAATCGTAAAAATGGATTCTTCCAGGACTTCCAGATTCTTCCTCTTCCTCTTCCCCTCATTAGAGATCTAGATGTCATTGTCAAAGAAAATAATCACCTTTTTCAATTCCCTTTATAAGACAGGGAAAAGCAAGTCTGCCTTAACTGTGTGATCTTCAAGAACTCATTAGCCAGAGAGTCTGGGCTGGCCACATAAATCCTGGGAGTCTTGTGTGTTCTCTTGTGTCAAGTCTTGTTAAAGGGGCAAATATAGACTTTTCCCTAAACTAACTTTTCATTCTATTCTCGTGCACAGCCAGTGCCACTGCCTGTCCAGATATTGCTAGTACCAAGTAGCTTAAATTTATAGGCTACTTAGGAAAACTTGCAGGAGCAACTTGGCAAATAGGATATACCACCGGAAGCTGTTGCAGCAAAACTACAAGTGACAGACACCTATTTGTAGAAATGATGGTGATTTCTTTCTCAACGCAGGGAGGTTTCTAGTCATTTAGCTAGGCAGGAATGAGGTTGACTGGATATCTATGGGGCACCCAGGTGAAGGGCACCTGAATTTCTGCTTAGGAAGCTAATACATGGCCACAGGGAGGAAGCTGATAGAACAGATGCCAAATTAAATCCATCTGCACATTGCATCATGTGTAGCACTTTTTCTAGGAACAATTTCCTGGATGGGATATTTCCAAGGGTATCTTGCAAGGAGAACTATGTCTGCAAAAGGAAAGTTTCTTTTTTTTTTTCCTTTTTTTTTCTTGTCAGTCGTGGGGGCCTGGACAATGTCCCTGAAATCTTCAGCTCAAGGCAAGCACTCTACCATTTGAGCCACAGCACCATGTCTGGTTTTCTGGTGGTTTTATTGGAGATAAGAATCTCCAATAAAGCTAGCCCAGGCTAGCTTTGAACTGTGATGCTCAGATCTCAGCCTGCTGAGTAGCTCAGACTATGGGCCTGAGCCACCAGCACCCGGCTCAAAGAGGAAAGTTTCTAAGCCAGGCCCTTTTTTCTCTTAGCTTGGAGCATTTCTGAGGTTGAGCTCTACAACAAGAAGGGGATTGTAGGCATCATGGCAGTTCACAGAAAGAGTTGGGAGTGTGAACCAGTGGGGAAAGTGGGCTAGAGTAGGTCAGAGCACCGTAATGGCAGCATTAGGTTGGCTGCCTATTTCCCTGTCTGGGAAACTTCACAAAGCATTGCTTTCCAACTCTTCCTTATCCCTGCCCAGGCCTTGGCCTTTGGTCTCTGACTGGAGAGGAAAGCAAATTCCACATGTATGAGATATTAGAGAAAAATAACTGAGGGCCGGGTGCAGGTGGCTCACGCTTCTAATTCTAGCTATTCAGGAGGCTAAGATCTGAGGATTGCAGTTCAAACCAGCCTGAGCAGGAAAAGTCCATGAGACTCTTATCTCCAATTAACCACCTAAAATCTGGAAGTGTTGCTATGACTCAAGTGGTACAGTACTCGCCTTGAGTGAGGAGCTCAGGGATAGTGCCCAGGCCCAGAGTTCAAGCCCATGAATGACAAAAAAAAAAATTCAATGCTTATCTAGCAAAATTAAGAAAATTGAGGGAAAGGGAAAAGTAGGGAGGGAAGTGGAAGAATGATAAAAGCGTGACGTTGATCAAGATGCATTGAATTCATATCCTGCTTTGTTGAATGCAAACTCCTTTACACAACTACTTATAAACAATGAGCATGTATTTTTTAATTGTTTATTATTATAAAAATGATGTACAGAGGATTTACAGTTATATAAGTCGGGTAAAAAGTACATTTCTTTTTGGACAATCTCACTCCTTCCCTCATACTCTCTCAGTTTTTAAAATATTTTTTAAAACACTATCTTTCTGTGGCAATTTGCAGAATTAAAGTGAAATCACTCTTTAAAAAATCACTTCTGCCGGGCGCTGGTGGCTCATGCTTGTAATCCTAGCTACTCGGGAGGCTGAAATCTGAGGATTGCAGTTCAAAGCTAGCCTGGGCAGGAAAAGTACATAGACTCTTA